TTTTTTTTGAGACAGAGTTTCACTCTTTTTGCCCAGGCTGGAGTGCAATGGTGCGATCTTGGCTCATCGCAACATCTGCCTTCCAGGCTCAAGCAATTCTTCTGCCTCAGCCTCCCGAGTAGCTGATTACAGGCATGTGCCACCATGCCCAGCTAATTTTATATTTTTACTAGAGAAGGGGTTTCTTCATGTCAGTCAGGCCGGTCTTGAACTCCTGAACTCAGGTGATCTGCCCGCCTTGGCCTCCCAAAGTGCTGGGATTATAGGCGTGAACCACCATGCCCGGCCTAGATTTTAGATCCTTATACCCAACCTGCATATCTTATGTTCCAATCATCTGTATTACTTTTTTGAATTTGGAAACAGAGTCTCCCTCTGTTCCCCAGGCTGGAGTACAGACATGCAATCACAGCTCAATATGGCCTTGAATTTTTGAACTCAATCAATTCTCCTGCCTCAGCTTCCTGAGTAGCTAGGATTGTAAGCCTAAGCCACCATGCCAGGACTGTATCACTCCTTCAAGTTTTCCAGGGGAGTATGGGGCTCAGTCAAGTTTGGGGACCACTGGCTGCACTATCCCTTCTCTGAATAGACGAGGAGGTTGACATTGCCATTATAGCAGTTAGGAGGCTGTCAGGAAGATCTGGATACTGAGGATGGTGGCTTTGGGAGTGGAAAAAGGTTTAGATACACTGGCATGCTGCCTCAATTTGCTTATTGGCACCTGATGGTGGGTCAGCCTATGTAAGGCTCTTAGTATCCTTCCTGGCACAGCTTCACGGCATGTTAACTGCTGCTGCTGCTGCTGTTATCACTGGAGATAGCAGGAATCAGAGGCAGGTAGACACAGATTCAAATTTTTTCTCCACCACTTTCTAGCCATGGGACTTTGAGCAAGTTACTTAAAGTCTCTGAACATGCTTCATCATCTGTAAGATGGGGAAGATGATGACAACCATCACAGCAACAATAACCATATCAGGAGAGTCTTAGGCTGAAAGACAACGTATGTAAAGCACAGTGCTTACACAGTGCCAAGCGTATAGAAACACTCAGCAAATGGTATTTGGTCGCTGCTGTTAAGCAATTCCCAGAAACAGGAGCCTTAGCTTTTAGAAGTCAAGTAGACATGACCTTGCTAAACTGTGGGTATGCCGTCACCTGAAGGAGTCAGGAAGCTATCCTTAGCTGTTCTTTCCATTAAAGAGTGTGTTTTTCCCAGGCTGGGAGAGGCTGTGCTTCGCACACCTGTGCAGGAATCTGGGGTTGTGAAAGGTCAAGGTACAAAGAGCGTAGGAGTTTGGGGAGCTACCCAGTGCCCTTCCAGGTCCCTTCTGCTGTCACCTCTGTGGCAGGGGCTGCAGAGGTCCAGGCTGTCACAGTTTGCATGTCTCTTTCCCAGGGGAGAGGGTTGTGGCAACAGCCTGACCCCCTCCCTACCACGTGCTTTGCCTAAACTCCACCACGTGATAATTTGCCCAGATTGTCCTTTGGAAGGCTTTCATTGCCTGGGGAAGGACGGAAGTCATAGGTTGGACTGAATCTCTTCCCGTACTCAAGGGACTTTCAGTACTCCCTGGCCTGAGATGGTAGCATGAGAACCAGTGCCAACTCATATCTTGGTCCTGCTGTGTGACTATGGGACAGTCACTCTCTCAGCCTCAGCTGTCTTCTCTGTAAAATGGAGTTTGTAATTGGACCTACATCAAGCTTTGTGCCAGGTTCTTAGCATATGGGACTTGGGATGGAGTTAGCCCTTAATTAATAGTAATTCATAGCCAGGTGTGGTGGCTCACACCTATGTTCCCAGCACTTTGGGAGACTGAGGTGGGTGGATCACTTGAGGCCAGGAGTTTGAGACCAGGCTGGCCAACATGGCAAAACCCCATCTCTAATAAAAATACAAAAATTAGCCAGGCATGGCGGTGCATGCCTATGATCCCAGCTACACAGGAGGCTGAGACAGGAGAATCACTTGAGCCCAGGAGGTGGAGGTTGTAGTGTGCAGAGATTGCATCACTGCACTCCAGCCTGGAAAAAAGGGTAATTAATAATTTTACTTGCCCCAAAGGACTTTACACAACCACAGATACTGCACCTCCTTTGGGCCACCCCAATCACCCACTTAACATCCTTTATGCCTAAATCTAGGAGCAATGCCTGGTCCTCTGTCTTGTTATGACCCCAGGGAACCCACATAAGAGGGACTGAACATTTTGCTGGCCAAGGATTTCCTTTGCTCAGGCAGCCTTCACTCGTTCTGGGGCTGCAGAGGCAGGACCATTCGGTCAAGCTGATGTGGGATTCTGAGCTACCCGGGCCCCTCCAGTAGTCCTCACAGCCCCCACCACCCAAAGGGCAGCCTTGAGACAGGCTCTGTGACAGTCTACAGCCACCCTGTCCAACACAACCTTCTGTGATAACGGAAACATTCTGTGGCTGCCAACTCGCCACATGTGTCTATGAGCCTCCAAATGTGACTATTGTGACCGAGAAACTGAATTTTTAATGGTATTTCATTTTTATTTTTATTTACTTATTTTTTGAGACGAAGTCTCGTTCTGTCACCCAGGCTGGAGTGCAGTGGTGTGATCTCGGCTCATTGCAACCTCTGCCTCCTGGGTTCAAGCGATTCTCCTGCCTCAGCCTCCCCAGTAGCTGGGATTACAGGCGTGCGCCACCACACTCATCTAATTTTGTATTTTTAGTAGAGGCGGGGTTTCACCATGTTGGTCAGGCTGGTCTCAGACTTCTGACCTAAGGTGATCTGCCCGCCTCGGCCTCCCAAAGTGCTGGGATTACAGTGAGCCACCGTGTCCAGCCCAGAAAAGAGATAATTAAACATAGAGCAGCCATGTGATGAAATGTCACTTTGCCTCTGTGGTCTTCCTTCTGCAAACCCATAACTCTAATCTAATTGTGAGAAAAACATAGGACAAATTCCAGTAGAGAACCAGGCCTGTGGCTCACACCTGTAATCTCAGCGCTTTGGGACGCCATGACGGGCAGATCACCTGAGGTCAGCGGTTTGAGACCAGCCTGGCCAACATGGTGAAACCCTGTCTCTATTTAAAATATAAAAATTAGCTGTGTTTGGTGGCGGGCACCTGTAATCCTAGCTACTCAGATACTGAGGCACGAGAATCACTTGAACCTGGGAGACAGAGGTGGCAGTGAGCCAAGGTTGTGCCACTGCACACCAGCCTGGGTGACAGAGTTGGGACTCCAACACATACACACATACAAATTCCAATAGAGGGTTAAACTTGACCAATAATACTCCTCAAAACTCTCAAGGTTACCGGCACAGTGGCTCATGCCTGTGATCCCAATGCTTTGGGAGGCTTAAATGGGAGGATCACTTGAGGCAGTTCAAGACCAGCCTGGGCAACATAAGGAAACACCATGTCTCCAAAAATATTTTTTAAATTAGCCAGGTGTGATGGCACATGTCTGTAGTCCCCACTGCTCGGGAGGCTGAGGTAGGAGGATTGCTTGGGCCCAGGAGGTTGAGGCTGCAGTGAGCTATGATAGTG